TTGGTCTAATGGAAAAGGGTCCGCATATGATAGACAAAGCAGTGATATTTCGGCCGTAATATGTTCACCTTCAGATAATCGACCAACCGAAATTTCAGTAATAAACTATTCACCTTCTGATACACAACACAACAGCGGTTCAGCCCAATTAGGTCCCCGTCATGAAAAACAAGATTATGACACCTCAGTCATAATGCACCCACCCTCTGACGGACACCATGATGGTATTTCAGCAGGAATTCGTCCACTAACTGATACACAACGCATTGATACTTCGGTCCCAAAGCATCCACATTCTTATAGACAACACGATGATATTTCAGCCCAAATACGTCTACCGTCTGATACACAACTTACCGACATTTCATTCTCAAAACATCGATCTTTTGATGGACAAAACAATGACAGTTCGGACCAAATAGGTCCCACGTCTGATGTACAGCACTCTGACAACTCAGCCCTAAAACATCCAGCTTCTGATAGACAGCACACTGATATCTCTGTCCAAATACGTTCACCTTCTGGTGGACAACACAAAAACATTTCCTTCCCTACACATCCACAGTCTGATAGACATCACGATGATATTTCTGCCCAAATGCGTCGACCGTCTGATACACAACTCAGTGACATTTCATTCATAAAACACCCACCATCTGATACAGAAAACAATGACATTTCAGCCCCAAAGCACCTGCCGTATATTAGACAAAATAATGATATTTCAGTGCAAGTACGTCCACCGACTGGTAGACAGCATAACGACATTTCGGTTCAAATACGCCCAAGTTCTGATGAGCAACGCAATGACATTTCAGTCCCAAAATATGACATGCCAGGGGTAGTTCAGTCAGGTGGGGGCCTAGAAGATACACATTCACGAGAGGGGTCCGAGGCTGTACACTCACGAAACGTGAAGGAGGAGGTCAGCTCTCCCGATGATACACCACCATCCTCAAGGGTAGTTAAAGAAAGGCCTTATGAAATGACATCAGCTGCACAACAGAGTGGGAGGAGTGTGCGCTCTCGAGACCCTTCAGTGCCAACTAGTGATGATATTAGCGCGCAAAATACGTCAGTTGCAGAACGAAGCCAAGGGAGTGTGCGCCCACAAACACAAAGCAGCAGTTATGGACCATCTGTACCTTCCGATCAGGATGCCCCAGCAAACTATTACGTCCCATATCGAGCAGTTTTTAGTCTAGTTTCGGTAATGCTCAAGGTACTGGGCGCACTCACGCTGTTGATGAGCGTGAAGGATGCTGCGATTAGATACTACCACATCCACCGGGAGAAGCGCTGGCCTAGCGAGTACTACGGAGCAGACTAACTGGCACTTAGCGCAGAGATACACGGTCAAAGTAATCACCATTTGATTCTATAGTTTAGTAAAAGAAGGAACAAAAACAAAAAAGAAATAAAAGGATGGAAAAAAACCCCACATCGCCTATCCGAAATAATTTTGCTTCTGCTTCACGGTTCAACAGTTACCATTCTGTCGTGATACTCCTTTTCCGGTAAAAGTAAAGTAGAGCCCATCTTTCAAACTGCTTGTCCTGGTGCACAACGTGCGATCCCCGATCGCTGTAGGGGGTCACAGTGAGTTTGCAGTTATGTGTTCCAGGAACAGAAAACTGGAGCAGTGACTGTCACTTTGCGTGAAAACATTGGGGGTACTTTGATTTTACCACAAATTTCTTGGTTACGTTGAATCAGTGACAACACCGTTTAATAAAATCTCAGAACATAAATTTTATGATATTCTTTAAATGTTCTTTATACGATATTTACTTTATCATTTGACATGTACACTGTGGGTGGTTGGAGGTACTCTGGTATGGTTTTCTCCCTCTTGTATATCAAACTTCCATTGTCCTTATCTCTGCTCCTTCGTTTCTGTGTATGTTATTTCATAATGACACCTCTAGTCTTTGGCTCTTATAATATGACCTATTTTTGTTGTAAGTGCAGTAAAACTCATACTTAAACTCTTCTGAAAACAGAAGGTGCTCATTTCAGGGAAAGACAACCCCTCATTAAAAAGAAACAAACGGAGATGCTTGTAACAAAGGCTATATGCTTACAACAAAGGCACTTAAAAACCCCCAACAAAAATGTTACTCGAAGTACTGAGAAGAAATGGACCGAATTGAAGTTGCCTCACCCCTCTCTAATTGCGAAGGCTGATAACTATCTGCGACTCATTAAGCTGCAGACGACTGCAAGTTTAACGACCAATGGGAGGATTAACGCTTGAGTTAAAGTTTGGACTAGCGTTAAGAATTAGGTTAAGGTTAACGCGAGGAATGACAACTAAGATAAGTTTAGGGCCAGGATTAAAAACTGAGTTCGGGTTATGGGGCAGGATTAACAACTAGGTTAAGTTTAGGGTGAGGATTAACACCTCATGTAAAAGCAGGACCAGGATTAACGACTGCAGTAAGGAAAAGAAGGAGATAAATGACTAAGGTAAAATGATTTACGCATTCCCATCTTCAAAGAGGCTGGCTGCTTCGACCAGGCATAATATGTGCCATAATGCGGTGGAATCAGGTGCTCGTCAATTTGGGACATATATTATAGAGTTGTTGGTATCATCTTAAAGTTTGTTCATTTGTCTTGCTTTCGATGAAATATTACTCTTCTATTTTCAGTAGAAGTCGATTTATTTCGGATTGGAGAATGTGGAGGCTGCCTTGTCTCAGGGGCAAAATTAGAGAGATAATGGCTGCCAATGTGTGGGGACTTCCAAAGCTTGAGGGTCCTTGTAAGCTGTAAATTTACTTGTTGTGTTCCTTTAATCAACGTGTTTCAGTAAAAGCCACACAGCAAAGTATTTTTAAAGGGAGAAAAAAGTGTTGAGGCAAAAAACAAAAATTTGAAAAACTTGTCAAAGCAAAAAAAACCCAAACAAACAACGTTTTCTTCATTCGATTTCATTATTTTGACGAGCGCCTGATTTTACCGCGATGCCTCACATATCATGGTTAACTTTGCTGAATGAGAAATACTAAAGGATATCCGTGCAAACAGAACTAAACATTCAATAAGCTTATTTCTCTTACTAGTCTTATTCATATCGATCTCGCTTCTTCTGTACGCAACAAAGAAGTGACTAAACCTTGCTCCACAGATGCTGATGTCTTATAAGGGTCTACGTGTTTGCCAATTACCTAGAAAGTGATAGCATTCTTCAAATCCATTCATTAAGGTCGCGGTATAATCATACCACTATTGCTATCTTAAATGGAACTATTCTATTCTTTTTAGAAGTCTAATTTGTTCAAGGAATTACTTTGGTAAGTTTATTTACTGGGACCTTCAGAAAATAATTATTTTCAAGTTTGCGTCTGTATCTAATTTAAATGGTTCTAAATAATATTATTTCGCGTAATTATGACCAACGAAACAACTGGAGAAATCTGATTTAGTTAAAAACACGAAAAACGAAACCAACGCAAACACATAAATGTGAAAACTTCAGAAGGATTCGTTTCTGTTCTTTCGATTTCGACCTATGAAAGGTACACGTGCCCTATTACGTGTCTACCATAAAGAACCTGTCTCCACGTCGGTTTAAAATAACGTATCTTAAATCAAATCTCAACCACTGCCCCTGCACGCAACTATCAAAATAAGAAACAAATCTTGACGGAATTCACGGCTCAAATAACGCTGATCACAGCTCTGGTGTCACGAACTATCGTTATCAATCAAACCCCTTGATCTTCTCGCTGTAGAAAATCCGAGTCATGTTATTAACAGAGGTCCACCTGTACGACATTTTCATCAGAGTTCTGGTTACACACCGCAGACCTTATTTCAGTGACTTCTCCTATTACCATTACAGCAGCGAGGAACAAGGACCAACGAGCTTTTTTAGGGTTGTAAGGTGTCATGGTCAGCCTTCGTTCTACGAGTGCAGCTCTACTGAGCATAGTTGAAGGACTACACGTTATTTAAAAATAAAATAACGTAACCTAGATTTGAGAGAATTTACTACAACTCACCTGAAAGTGAAAGAGCGTAAAGACTCAAAGGACTAGATCAAGGTAAAAAATTGCTACCTTTTTTGATCGGCACTAGGACTGGCTGGTGGTTGTTGGCCAACGTTGGTGTACTACTTTTTCTTTTTTTTCCTGTGTGGTGTTTTCTTTCTTTCACTACTGACTGTTTTATGTCCGTATGTCTTGCCTTTTAAGGGGGGGGGGGGGGTTTACACCTGGAGGCTATCTCGCTTATTACTGGACCGAATTTTACCAAATTTCACACATATAACAAGCATAGTAAGGAGTCTTAAAATCCATAATCAAATTTGAGAAAAAAGTTTCGTTTCCATGGATACGCCGCCATATTGGATTTTATTCGCATGTCTTACGTAATGAAAACGGCACTTTTTGCTCATGAAAATTGATTGTTTTTTTGCATGCGTGTTCACAAACATTAGATCTAAAAAATGTTCTGTTGTTTTTTTCCTAAACGAATTAGAACATTTTTAATGAATTTTTTCCTGAGGTAGCATTCAAGTTTGCGAAAAATCCGTGAAAATCCACACTCCTGACACCACCAACAAAAATCTATTCCATATATAAAAAATTCAACAGATAAATTTTTAGTATTACCTCTTCTCTTCATTCTGTGAAAATGTCATGAAGATTGGATGAAGAATGGTGGAGTTATTTAAAAAAGTATAGAGAAAAGTCGCGTTTTGAGAAAACGGCTGATAAAGAAAAAAATAAAATACTGACTTTATGAGGAAATGGCGGTTACAAACATGCCCGGTATGGGAAAAATACGGTTTTGGGGGGTTCTTATGCGATGAAATAGTTGTAGGAGATGCTGAGGAAGCTAAAAATGCCTACAACTCAAATTACATGATTTTTGAGCCGAATTTTGACGTTGTGCCCCCCCCCCCCCCCCCCCCGGCGTTAGTAGCAGTAGCAATTGATCTCATAATTTTGTCCAAAGATAACCCACTGCCATTCTTTCCTCCTCCAGCTGTTTTACATGTCGTGTCCCCATTGTGAGACATCGACACTTTTTTTATAACAATTGTTTTGATGGACCAAGTACACCACGCTACCTAACTTAATAATAATTGGTTTTGACGCACAAGGACAGAAATTGAAATCTGCAACGACTACCCTTCTCGCCCTCGAGTGTTCACACTATAATGGTTTTCCTCTTAACAAAAGTGCTGGTGTAGTTTAAAGGTTGTAACCTTATAAAAGAATTTATCAGAAAAGCATTTATTTAGTTTCGCACGCTACCTTTGTTAACCACTCTCACGCGGTAAACTAGATCCACAGGCTTTCACCGGCGGCCCTCTCGCTCTTGCATCGGTCAAGAAGGTTGTTTTGGTAAACAACCCACTATTGCTGGTAAAAATAGGCCTCTGGTTTTCCACTCACTTTCAAAACAACCTTCTCCCCCCCCCAAGCCTCCCCTCTCTTGCTATCGCTCGCTTCGTTCTCTCTCTCTCTGTCTCTGTCTCTCTCTTTATCTATCTATCTCTGTCACACTCTTTCTTGCTATAGCTCACTTTGTTCTCTCTCTATCTCTCTATCTCTCTCTATCTCCATCCCTCTCTCTCTTCCTCTTCTTGTCGCTCTTGCTCTTTTATCTCTCTCTCTCTCTCTCTCTCTCTCTCTCTCTTTCTCTTATGCTCTCTATTGTTTTCGCTCTATCGTTCTCTCCCTCCCGCCTCTCTCTCTCTCTCTCTCTCTCTCTCTCTCTCTCTCTCTCACTCTTATGCTCTCTATTGTTTTCGCTCTATCGCTCTCTCCCTCCCGCCTCTCTCCCTCCCTCTCTCTCTCTCTCTCTCTCTCTCTCTCTCTCTCTCTCTCTCTCGTTCTCTCCCTTCCTCTCTCCCTTCCTCTCTCCGCCGCTCACTCTTTGACGATGACACCGTCTCGCTTGCTCGGCTCACCGCTCACTTCCTCCTCTCGCGCGACACACGCAAGTTCACCCAGCACGTGATGCCATACGACCGGCACTAGACCACCACCTACCCTGAGCGGTCTCAGGATCACCGGGCCAGCGACACTCGCAAACTCAAGTCCGATAGCTCTGGGATATTTTCACACTTCACGGAGTATTCAAGCTGCGACGACCTGATGGTGAGGCCAATACATACACTGTCTTGTGTCGATGGCTGCATTCAGTGGCAAGTGGCTGAGATTTTAAGAAACAGATCAAAGAGTTTTACAGCGCTACTGTAAACTCTCTGAACAGATTAAACCAACGCGAGAGGGTGGTCGGCGGGTGCTCTGGTGTGGTTTGCTCCTTCTTTCCTATCAAACATCTACCGTCCTTATATCTCTTTTCTTTTTTTTTTCGTGTTAGTTACTCTCCTGTAACATCTCTAATCTTCAACACTTACATGACCTAATTGTGTTTTACAAGGGATGTAAGACTGTTATTTAAACTAAATAAAAAACAACGCTAAGACCGGTTCTTCACGGTGCACAGGTTGTTGTGGACTCTTCAAATTAACTGACATTACTTAGTATGACATACACTTCGTCTTTCCTTTCTGTTTGCATGTCTGCGATACTGTGTAAAGGGGGGGGGGTGTCCTTGGCTTTTTTTTAAAATGTGCGTACGCATTTTGGACAAAACAAAATATACATGATACCGTACACAAGTATTGAAGAATATCTTTTTAAACGATCTGACTGCTAACTCTTTTGTCCCTAGCATCTGTGGTGCAGAAGTTAGCACCTCAGTCGCACTCAGGAGACCTGTGTTCGATTCCCGAGTGGGCAGAATTTTCCTCTAATAAATCTGTCTGTCTCAGCCCGGATTGGCCCTCACAGGCAGTGCCGAAGCACGCATCTTTATTGACCTAAATTATGTCGAAAAGAGGGTGGGGGTGAGAAAAGCCCCAAAGTCAGAATAAGAAAACAAACTCTTTTGTAGATTGGTCGCTTTACTTCGTTCACTTTTGTTTATTTCTGGTTCAGTTTTTAAATACACGTCCTCCTCGCTCCACCTTATTCCAATTACAATCGTACATCTTAGATCTATTGTATCATTTCTTCAAGTTTGTTTTGTTTTAAAGCATTTTTTTATTCGTCCTTCTCTCTTGCAATAGCTTTTATGGTTTCTTTTTTATGCTTATGAGGTGCAGTGTCACATGTTTGTCTAAGCATTAGTGTTACCATAGTCTGTATTCTGTATTTGGGCAATGTCACAGTAAGTAGCTGTCATTGTGGGTGGCTGGCAGACATTTAGGTGTGGTTTGCTCGTTCTTTTCCACCAAACACCTATCATCCTTATGTCTCTTACTTTTTACCATTATGTTACCCTCTAGTCTCATAAGTAATATTAGGGGATTTATATGGCTTAGTGTTGAAAGTGCCGACAAACTCTCACTAAATCTCTAAAAGAAAACAAAAGCATAGAACAACGCAACCCCCCTCCACCCACAAGCAACAAATCAAACAAAAACAAAACAAATACACC